GACGCTAATTAAAAATAGAAACATTTATTTCATATTATCAATGTAATAATAGGTATTACAATGAAATGTACCTACACGAGATAATTATAGTAATTGTCTCTTGAATATCGTCACTCATGTAAACAATATAGAACAAAATAGTGTAGCGGACTGTTTCAATTAAATTATTTACAATTTAATTAATTAATTATTTAAAAATGTTTTCTTTTAAAAATTTCATTATATATATGTCATTTAATGTAATCTTAGACTATTTATGGATTTATATCTAAACAAGGAAACATTTCACTTATTTTATTTTTATTTAGAGTGAGCAAGACCAGAGAAATTTATTAAAACCAATAACGTAAAGGTACGAAAAATAACAAAATCTTAAACTGCAAAAAGACTGTAATATAAAATATGTACAAAAAGATTTGTAGCGACAGCTGCGATTCGCTACAATAACAATAGCAATTCCTATCGAATAATTTTATTTAGACATAGACATTCTTTATTGTTAATTAATTAAGATGTACAAATCATAAAAAATTATAAATCGTATTCGTATTATTTTCTTATATTACTATTGTAGTCACATTCGAAATTATAATTAACATAATTATCTTTGTAATTGTTATAAAAAAATCCTTCAATCCGGCTGGATTCGACCCAGCGTGTTCTAGCAAACCGTGCTAGTTGCTATGCCGTGGAGCGAACTTTACGATTTTTTTATGTGCTTCTTGCAGATCTGTGTTTTTCGTTTTTAACAACTTTTTAAATTTAATATATCGTTCAGATGTTGATTAAATCGATACTGAACTATTGATGCACCTACTATGAATATTAAATACGCCTACTAAGTTTAGGATCTATATTTTGTTGACTTTATAACGTGATTATTAATAGGTAAGGCCTCGTCCTGTATTTGAGACTGTCTTGTACTATCACGGAATTGTCTTACAAAACTACACAACTCTCACGACATTTTTTTATATAACTCTACCTTTAGCATTTTGACCTCTTGCTTTCTATTTTGCACAAAAAACTGCTCTGATCGTGAACCCACAGATAACAACGGTCATTGGCCTTACGGTACCTTCATACTTCCGTATCTATTTTCGCTTCTTTTTACTCTTTGTTACGACTTAATACCAGTGAAAGAATTAGCAGCCATACAAGAGACTCCCAAATCATTAATACACACATTGTCACATTTAACGGAACACATGCAAAACACTAAAATATTGTATATTTTTTCAAAAGATTGACCGGTTATTTTGCTTTTTTATTTTAGGTCAAAACAAAACAAAGAAGTAGTCGACTGTCATTTTTTTCATTCATTTGTTTTAATTTCCTACTAATATAGGTTTGTCGAGTGGTTCGAGGTTGACTTAAAGTCAAAAGCAAGTTGTTATTAAATTTCTAAACTTTAGGTAATTTTAAAAATAAGTCAATTTATTAAACTTCAATTTAATTAATTTTAAACTGCTACAATTTTCAGCGGCTTCTGCTTTGTCACTAAATCTAAAAATATGCATTTTATTAATTTTGTTCTTTCTTTCAGTATAAGTTGAATAAGGCTGTGCTAACTCGATGTTACTTTAATTGCTACTTGATGTGTAACTATTTATTTAAATATAAACGTTATCATATTATATTCTCAATTTTTTATTCCCCTAAATGTGCCGGTGTATGTAGTTGCAAAGATCTCCAGTAAAAACATTTTCCTACCTACCTATAATGTTTTAGCCCACTCGGAAAATAGGTTCCTCTATGATGAACGGTCAAATGAGGGGTTGCTCTATTGTGTCACAATAGGATAGATACAGTTATAGTCTGGAGTAAAACTACCTTTATCAAGTCAAAGGTCATCGTAACCTGGTATTAAAGGTACAGTTGGCTGCGCCGGCGCCGTGTGAATAAAGCGAGGTTGGCGACCGATGTTATCTGCGACCTGGGGTCACGTTAGGGACGTTTTTTATGCCAATCGGAAAGCCGTTTGATTAACAGTCATAAATATTTATTTAACAGAAAAAGAAAGGACACTATACGCGACATGTGAAATTTAAAGAAAATTTTCACAAAGTCGTGATGTCTATATCTGTACAGTTGCACCCGTCTATTTTGCATGCCGTCGCTCTATCAAGTTAACTTCATTAGATCATCCCCTCCGCTCACCCTTCACCGAACGTTCTCTAGCAACCTCCGGTTTTATTAAGGTTTTATTATTATATCACAGGTCTATAACCGATATACGTGCTTACATAACCGTGGGACTTTCTCAGATCCCTTACACGCTATTACCGTTTTATTATAGCGATAATGTAGCTCGGAAGAGACTTGCCCCCAACTCTGGGTCGTATTAGGTTTTAAAAGCTATAAGAACTAAAATAGTCAGTGTCTATTAATTACTGACGCTCACGTTTTTATAATAAGATTCCGGAGCATATTAAGATTATCATTTCCTAAGTTAAAACTTACATTAAAAGTTTTACATAATAAATTTTAATTGAAAATTACTAAAGACTACGTGTTAGATAATGATGTAAGTATGGAAAGACGACATGACTCTAGATTCCGCACAAACTTGACTCAAAGTGTATTCCATAACATGTAAGTTCATTTGAAAAGTAACCCTGCGAGTTAATTGCTCAAAAAGTTCGTGGAATTACATCTATTTGCCAAGTTTTATTTAAATTGATTAGCGGAAAGTGCGCGAAACCGGATTCATCCCCTAGTTTGCCACCCTTAGAGGTGGAATATTTTCTTCAAATTAAAATGGGACCACTACCCTGTTACAAAAAAAAAAAGAATCATCAAAATCGGTTCATAAATGCCAGAGTTATCGCGTGACATACATACAAAAAAAATAGAGTCCAATTGAGAACCTACTCCTTTTTTTGAAGTCGGTTAGAAATTACGTTTTCTAACGTAAATTTATTTTATTTTATTTTAAATGATTTTTTTACTTTGACCACTAGCGAAACTAGCCGATTTAGCCATAGACTATGCCGACTAAGAGGACTCCTCTTCTCTAACGCTATACTTACTGCTTTTTTGAGGGCTACTAGTCTTTCGATTGAATACAGTACATCAAACATTATTACTAGTAGTGTTACTCACAACAGATCACACGAAGAAAACACCCAACGTTACTCCTTGAAGTCGACAGAAACAGCTTTCTAGGATACGTATAAAATCTAATCTAAAAGCAAGACAAGACGTTATCGTAGATACGGGCGGGGACCTCACCGAACAGGTATTTCGCTACAAGTACTAAGGAGGCTCCTTAGGTGCAGATAAATATTCTACTTAGTTCTAGCTACAGATGGCCAGGGCTAAAGTTACAAAACGTCCAAGTGAATTGAAAACGCACTTTTATCTTGTTTGTGTAGGTGTGTGATGTTTTAAAAATTATGATAGTTCGATTTCCCAGATGTGGCCAATACGGCTCATAAAATACTTATGGGTTTGTGATGATGTGTGCTCGTGAGGGTCACTAGCATATGATTTCCATACCAGCTAAATAAATGTTCACTGGTCGATGTCACTTTGTATTCAGATTCTGCTATTAAAGGCTGGTATATGGCAGTGTTACACTCTGATGGACCACCTGATGGAAAATGGCCTTGCAAGCAAGTGACCTTGGAGACATTTAAATCTTTTGTACCTGCGATTGCTTTAGCTCTCCCTATCATTCAATCTCAAACACAGGAGTGATGCTTTATGGAAGAAATAATTAGGACGGCTGTACCTACCGATTTGAAACCTGTCAGTAAAATATTGTATTTTTTACGGGACAAGTTGTGCGCCTGGTGGTAAGCGACACGCCTGTCCATAGCAGTTGCAGTGCCACTAAGAACTTTAAGTCGCAAAGATATGAGGGGCAATGCCATTACGGCCGTCACACTGATACATAAGTTTACTAGTCTCACGTGCATTTAAATTCACAAGCATCCTTCCAAACCGGAATGCAATAATGGTTACAATACTGCTTGGCGGCAGAAACATACACTTACTTTCCTAGACTAGACGAACTCTTTCACAAGGAGCTGTATTTAAGTCTGCTTTAGGCGCAAGATGAATGGGTCTTGTTCAGTAAGTCTGGTTAACCTTCCAAGCATAAACACTTCTTATGCCTACAACAACATAATAATCTTGCGTATCAGAAGGCTTTTTTACCCACCTTAAACAACTTGTGAAACAATGAAAACAATTTTTCATGTCAAATCGAGCCGCAAGGCAGTCATGTGATTCTCTAATAGGATTGATTTATTGCTTTTTGCTTATTGTCTTGAGCATAACGGAAATTATTGGTGACCATGAATTTTGTTACGCTGTTGTTCTTAGCCGCCAACAAAATTAAGTATGTGGTATTGATTTAAACTTTCACGATTTTCAACATTATTTTAACTGAATAAAATATACGTTTTGGACGTGTTGCAGTGGCCATGTTCTCGAAGGATTGTTTTTGTTTTGTTGTTGAAGTTGGGTGTTTAATTAGAATATGATACCTAGGGCACGGACGTATCTTTTTCTGTCATAAAGTTTTATTACCATTCCACCTATCCAGTGCGTTTATTACCATACAGATATTATATAGCTCTGTGTCCTGTTGTCGCGTTATCTTAGACTGTAAATGTTGTATATGAATGCAAGCGAATTTTGGTTATTGCCCTCAAAGATTATGCTTTAAATTCCCGAACTACTTATATGAGCCTACACAAGCCGAAGCGGGCGTGTTGAATACTTGACAAATTACGCTGATACCCGCGTCATTTTTGTTAATAATTACTTCTCATTCAACTTACAAAATATTTCGAAACACGCAGTAATTATTTAGATATCTCCCGATAAGACCACTTGGCTAGATTAAACGACCTTGATACCTTTGAAACAAAAACAAAAACAGCCCAATGATTCAAATTCATACTTTTAACGGACTTTCCTACTTGTGCGGGAGAGAGGTGACCGTTAAAACACCATGAAAGACTAAACACCATAGAAATTGTACTCACCAATACAACGATACAATCCGTAGTAAATCCGACACGACCTAAGTTCCGTTAATACGAGTTTAACTCGTGATTTTCTTGTAAAATCACGGAAAACTTAAAAAAAAAACACACTTTGCACTCTGTGTTTTATTCACTATACACTAGTTTATGTGTATTTCACTCACGAATTTATTATTTCTGTAAGTAAAGTGCTTCAATAACATCGATACTTGCATGTAAAGAGGTTTGAAGACAGACAACAATCAATGCGTACACACAACACGGCGTTCGATGCGATACTAGCGACGGTCAGGCGCGCGCGCGGAGATCAGCGGAACTAATTTGTACAGACGGCAGAGTTTACATTTTTTTCTATGAAAGAAAATAAAATTTACTTTGTGTTGAAAACTAATAAGACAATAGAATAAATAATAGGACTGTGTAATCTAATAGGGAAGCTTAACTCTTCAAACTTCAATGTGTAAAAACATTTAATCGTCATCCTTAGAAGAGATTTGTAACCAGAAATGGACTGTATCTTGATAAACAATACAAAAGGCATGAAGCTGGAAATACTAAATATATTATAAAAAATCTTTTTAGTAGAATTATAGAAGTTAATTCTTGAATTCTTTTTTAATTATTATAAATTAGTTTGATTCATAGATAATAAAAAGGAGATTCTTATGTATTGCTACTTATTAATCCAGCCAAGTATGTATGCTACAATCTAAAAAAACTAAACATCGACTGAAAAATATTACACAAATATTACCTTTTAGTCAATGTCTAATCTAAGTAAGTCCATGTCTAACGTAAAATAAATCTAGGCATAGTTAAATTACTATTAACCATACATACATACACAAACAATGATATTATACTTATGCTCACTGTACACAAATATGTATCTACGTCTTTAAGATTAAAAATATTAAATAAATAAAATTAAATAAGAACAACATATAAGCATATTACACATTAGATTGAACAATTTATAAAATTCACTTAAAATCAAAATTAAAATATCGTGAAATCCGAATGAAATAAAATCAATGAAAAAATTATTAAAAGTCAGAATCAAATTTTTAAAAGCCTGGATTATAATAAAATTAACTGATAGTAATATAATAAAACACGTAATAATGTAATAAGGCTGAACATGCCAAATTGTTTATTGTGATATTAAATATATACTGCGACCGTCAATGTAATCGAGATGCCATGGGTATCACCAAAAATGGAAAGTATTTTAAATACAACTCTCTTGCATCTTTCGGACTATTTCGAGGGAACAAGTTTTCTCTCAGGGACAGGTAGCGGCCCCAATGGTGCAGGTTTACCTTACGCCTCTGTGTCTCAGAAAGGTGGCATACCGACCTAACGACTGGCACTTAAATAATAGTCTTATAGTAAAGCTGTTCTTAGTAAAAAGGTCTTCTTATCCTAATATCATGGAAGATGGAATATTAGTTATTTACGTAAAAAACAACTTTAAAGAAGTGGTTTTAATACCAATTCAATTCTAAACGAAATACATTCAATAAACTAACCTTTTTCTCTATAATAATTTATATTTTTAGTGTTTACCTTTTTTTAACTCATTTGTACGATACTGTAGGTATAGCGCATCGGCCTCTCCATCTTGGGTTTATGGTTGCTAGCCGGATCCACGAGTATTTTTCCATTTCTATTATGAGCGGTTTCTTTTTTTTTGCGTTCTGACAAAGGTTTTTATAGCGACATCACCTAAAGCACCACATAGTTTCTCAAAGAAACATCTAAGTCAAAGTCTAAGAAAAATATTATTTATTTCACAGGTAAGCAAATCACATTTGTAATCGTCATATTGATTAAATTGTAATGCTCATTCGTTGAAGCAGATACATCTGAGCAAGCAAGAAACTCTAGGGGTTGCTGTTTGTAAGTACACATTTGTGTACATTTATCCTTAACAATATTTTTTTGAAAGATCATTCATCGAGACTACTTGCAGCTCACTACCACGGATTTTTGTCATCCCGAATGTAGAAACTATATAATAAGACTTTGGTATAAAGTTTTTGTTTCACTATATGTACTTTTAAACCTCGTAAATTGCAAATTTGTGCATCAACCGGAATCTTATTATAGTTGCCCCTTAAATGATTTGTGACGTTGTGAAGACGACCGTCAAGAACAGTCAGTTTATTCTTATTTATCGTATTAATTTAACATCTGTCATTATTTTTCTTTAAAAAGAATTCTTCTTAACATAAATTCCATTTTCTTAAATGTACTATGACGCTGGTATAAGAATAATAATTTGTTTAAACTTATCAGACTAACCGTGCGCATTTTATATGGGAAACTACAATGAAAAAAAGGAAGTTATCAATTTGACTGTTTTTTTTGTGTGTATGTTACGCGATTACTCCGGCATTTGTGAATCGATTTTGATGATTATTTTGTTGTTGGAAAGAGGATACCTCGGTATTGGTCCCATTTAAATTTGAAGAAAATATTCCACTAGTGGCAAACTAGGGGATGGATCCCGTTTCGCGCATTTTCCGGTAACCGATTTCAATGAAACTTGGCAAATCGAGAACTTTTGAGGTCTTTCTTTTTTCATAAAAAACTTATATAATTTTTTTAAATTTTTGTTGAATTGATATTGAATTATTTTTTGTGAAATTACTTCACTAGTTTGTTATAATTATCAATACAAAGATCGAACACTCAGAAAAAAATCCTTCGATCCGGCCGGATTCGAACCGACGTCACACCCCGGACACTCTATACAACGATCGAAAATAATTTACGTACTACTACTACACACACCAAGGTGCTATCTGCACATGCGCAAATGTGTGCGTGAAGTGGCAGGGTTACCCATCACTTTCTTGCACTATTACGTTACGTGATCAGAGCGGCAACATAGCGAAACTATTATCTATGGTTCTATTAATAGAATTCAGAATCCTAATAATTACACACGTCTATTATGTATTTACATCGATATAATATCACATTTTTCATTAACTCACTAACTAGAGCAATATTGAAGATTTATTTAAAAAACATATTAAAAGCACTTAAAATGTTATATTTTGGACATGTACTTTTTTGGACGTGCGGGGCGTGGTGCGGTATCTAAAGCTAGGGAGGGGCGGAGAGTGTCCGTTCTCTTTACTTTTTGTTCTAACCGACGACATCTTCTAGCTCGGTAAGCTAGAAGACGTCGCGGTCGGTTCGAATCCGGCCGGATAGAAGGAATTTTTTCTGAGTGTTCGATCTTTGTATTGATAATTATAACTTATATAATTATTTTGCTAAAATACAATCACGAGTTAAAACGTAATCTGACCTTTATGCAACACTGTATGTTATAGTATATCCTATCTTAAATCAATATACCTACACTTGCGAATGAAATTGTTCATAAATCGTTTCGACCGAAGTCAAGTTGTATATGTCCAGTATTCTTTCTGCTACTCTATTTGGCTGATATTAATGAGAATTAGTCCCTTCCAATTAGGTATTACTTCTACTAAATACATCTTCTTGTTTGCTTCTTAATTGCGTGTCGATGGCATACACTGAAATGCTTGCCATTGTGGTGAATGCATTTGTACTCTCCGATTGTTGCCCAGGAAGCGCCAGATGTATTGGAAAGTAATGGTACGTCGTGTGGGAAGGCTCGTTTCGTGCATACCAAGGAAATCACAAAGTTAAAGACCGACCGTCTAAAATATATGAATGGCTACATGTTCAGCGCCCGTAGCAGAAGCTAATGTACTAGATAAAATAAACACTATTTGGAGGAGACACACCATAATTACCAAAGAAGTCCGGAAGTGCAACTGTGAAACGGTCAATCACAACGTTTGGTTTCAAATTTCGTACGCTTATTCGACCTACATCCTAAAATCTAATTTCCTGCCAACACAATAAATGATACCATGGTGAAAACCTTGAAAAAACCATTGTAAACAAATTACTGAAATTTAAACCTTATATCCTAGAATTTAAGTGCTATGGAAAACAGTGAGGTGAAACAAAAATTTCGTCTCGGTCAATCGCGGTATGACGAATAGGTAATAGATGTTTCCTATTGTGATCCTACTTTAGGCATTCCGTGGGTTTGGGACGTTAAATTGTGTGTCAAGGTTGAACCTATTTTGGTGATTGACAAATGATTTGTAGAATTTGGTGAAACATGGCTCACTGTTCTCTTAATAAACGTACTCGGATATTAATTAAGTCAGTGGAGGACAGTCGTATCAGGCAGCACGAATTGCGTAGCCGGTTGTTAATTTATATATACTATATTGCAGATGTGTAAATATATTCTTTTTAATATGTGGAATTAATTATTATTTCTAAAGTCATGGCTATTGAAAATCAGTAGAAAAATCTGTTACTTCAACAATTTTGCATAAACTTGCTATGGCTATTTTGGCCGAGAACTTCGTATGTAAGGATTTCACACAAAGTGTTGTAATAAGAAATGTCTTACATTAAGGCAAACTAATTGCAATTAAGTGGCAGAAGAGCTCCTTGTCAAAGAGTTCATCTAGCCAAGAGCGTTACTGCATTCCGATTTTGAAGAGTAAGCGCGTTTGCGCAATACATGCGATTCGTATTTGTTACGGATTTGAGACTATACAAATCTAAAAAACTCGGACCCACTTCGGATGTCGCTTATGTACTAATTCCGATTCAAATTCGAGAAAATACGAGTATTGCTTGTACACCTAGAGATAAAACGATCCCTGTGACATTTCGAACTGTCATTTAAGTAGTGCGCAGACGCTCTCAGGGTCGTATTCCAGAACTCTACTCTATACTGAAGTTTGCAGTGAGCATTGAAAATCATACTCAAGTCCTTGCCATTAGGGTCGTATTTCCAGTGCTTGAAATCATACTCAAGTCTGCTCAAATCCTGACTGGAGCAATGAGTAGAGTTCTAGAATACGACTCTTACGACCACTTACTCAATTACGACTCTACTCAATGCTCAAGTCAGGATTTGAGTATGGTTTAAAGCACTCGAAATCATACTCAAGTCCCTGCCATTAGGGTCGTATTTCCAATGTTTGAAATCATACTCAGATCCTGACTTGAGCA